TTCCCCTCTTGGGGCCAGCAGGGCTCAGCCAGGCTGGGACCAGCTCTGCTGCCTTGGGGGGGGGGAGGCACCCGCGCAGGAATCAAGTGATGGAGTATTTGGCAGGGAGGGGGCACTGAGGCTGGGCCCAGGGGAGGGTGGGTGTGGGAATTTCAGCAGGTCACACAGCAGGGCTTGGTAGGGCCAGACCCTTCTGTTTTGACTCCTGGCTCTCCCCTTCTGTCCCGGCAGGGTCAGCCTGGACTCCCAGGGCCACCAGGGCTGCCTGTGAGTATCTGCATCTCCCATGGGTGCTGGTGATGCACCTGGCTCCAGAACCTGCTCCCTAAGCACCCACCAGTGAGGTGGGAGCAGAGCAGGGATCCACTCTCAGCCCCCACATCCATGTCCTTGGTGGTAGCATGGGCACTGCCCTGCTCGGGGCAGAGATGCTAATAGTCTGGGGGAAGGAAGGGGGGGTTGGAGAACTTGGACCAACTGTGTCTTTCCTGTTGCAGGGCCCTTCGCTGCCAGGACCACCTGTAAGTGTTGGGCTCGTGGGGCTGTGGGTGGTCAGGGACCCCACTTGGGGTAGCATTGCAAGAGCTCAAATCTTAGCCCCCTCCAAAGGGGGTGGAGGTCTCAGGCCTTGACCTCTCTCACTCAGTGAACATCTCTCCTCTCCTTAAGGGCCTTCCAGGTCAGGTTGGGCTTCCTGGAGAGATCGGAGCGCTGGGACCCAAGGTGAGGGGGCAGGAGGGAGTGCATGAAAACCTCCCCTCCTTATCTCACCATCCTCTTCTCCACACTTTGGGGCTCCTGGGGTGAACAGGGATGACCCTGTGACATGGGTGAGCAGAGTCCTGTGGGAGGGACAGAGGGGTGACAGGCTGTGCCTGCAGCCAGGACCCCCAGCACCATCCCTCACATCCCAGATCGTGGCCGGGGATGCCTGAGTTCTCACTGTGGATCCTGGCTCTCTGGTGCTTCATCACCCTTCCACCCCAGCTCCAGCAGTACCTGCCACCTCCCCACCCCTAAATCTCCTCTTCTGTGCTTGTTCTTTCCTAGGGTGACCCTGGACCTGATGGCCCACGGGGTCCCCCAGGCCCCCCAGGGAAGCCTGTGAGTATCTGCCCAACTGTCAGCGTTTTATGCAGGAGGGAAAAACCCTTCAGCCTGGGGGTTTGGGGCTGGGACTTGTTCTCCTGCCCTGTTCCTTGACCCCTTCCCTCCCAGGTGTAAAACAGTGGTGACATGAAACCAGAGATGCTGATGCTCTCCTTCCCTGCAGGGCCCCCCTGGACACATCCAAGGACTGGAAGGCAGTGCTGATTTCTTGGTGAGAGCTGCTGTTTCCTTGTCCCTTCAGCAGGCCTGGGCAGGGGAACAGCTGCTGAGTGAGCCCTGGCCCAAAATAGAGCTCCCAGTATCATTTGGCAACTGGGGGCTGAGGGAGTGGGGAGGAGCAGAGTCCCCAGCCCAGATGATGCTGTGAGCACCGGGTCCCCTGGGTCACCCTGCACCACAGGACCCTGTGCTTCCATGCACGGCTTCTCTGGGCCCTTTCTTAACTCACACTGCATTTCTTCTTCCCCACCAGTGTCCCACCAGCTGCCCACCAGGTCCCAAGGGTCCCCAGGGACTGCAGGGGCTGAAGGTAAGGGAGCCCTGGAGCTGCCAGGGAGCAAACAGGGACTGTCACCCCCAGTGCTGTGCTGGAGCCGAGGAGCCTTCCCTGGTCTGGAGACATGGGGAACTCAGGAGCTGCCCTGCTCCCCTGGGACCACAGGGACATGCACACTCAGAGAGCCCTGGGGGCAAAGTAATTGTGGGAGGGGTCCCAATTGGCTCTCCAGCCAGCCCCTTCCTGCTGGGTGAGACCCTGCACCCAAGCCCCAGCCCTGCCACTGCCCAGCTCACCTGCTGCAAAGCCCAGAGGATTAAACCCGGTGGGGTTTCCCCCTGGCTGTGGGGTGCTGAGCTCCACCATGTCACCAGGGGGTACCTCAGGGTGGGACGTTGCAGGCATGGAGGCTCTGGGTGTCGTAGCTATCAGGATGCTGCCTCAACCCTGCTGCTTCTCCCGGGAATGCTGACGATCTCCCTCCTCCTCTGCAGGGACACAGAGGCCGCCCTGGTGCCCTGGGGGAGCCCGGCAGGCAGGGCAGGCAGGTGAGTGACTGTTGTGCCAGCTTGTCAGCAGAAGCCAGGTGTGCCTGCAGCTGGGGCTGGACCTGGGGGCAGAGAAGGGAGGAAGGAAAGAGGTGGGAAAGGGAGGAGCGAGATCTAGGGCTGGGAGGCAGAGGGTGGGTAGGGTGCTTTTCCTATGGTGGCTCCTTGGGGGGAGACTTGTCCCCATCCCCTCTGGGTCCCAGACGTGGGGGTCTTGGGTCCCCAGGGTGGTTTGTAGTATCCCTGCTCCACCACAACACTCACCTCACTCCTCTCCATCTCTCTCCAGGGCTCCAAGGGTGACACTGGAGTCTCTGGAGAACAAGGTGTCCCAGGCCCTCCGGTAACGTGCTCCTTTCTCTCTGCTGCTCTGCCCCTGGGGTGCCCCAAGGGCTGGGGGTGTCTGCCTTGTGCTTGGGATGTGACACCAGGGACATGACATCAGTGTGTCCCTGCTCCTGGGCACCCACACTGGAACCAGAGCGAAGCCTTTGTCCCACCCATCTCCCTTCTCCCACCACCATCCTGAGGGGAGACCTGGCTGGTCAGCACTGACCCAGGCACCTGGGTGGTTAGTGCATGTTAACATGGGTAACTCACCATGGGGACAAATCCCTCCAGTACACTGAGCCCCCATCACCTGCTCGGGGGTCCAGTGCCCAGCTCACTGTGGGGGTGCAGGGATTAAAGCTGCTGGAACTCGCTGAGCACTTTGAAGATGAAAAGCAATTAATGGGCTGAGCCCTTCGGTGCAGGAAAGGGCAAAACTGCTTTGAAGCCAAGAGCTTTGGTGGGAGAAACAGCCCCTGTTTGGGTCCTTTGCTGTTATTGAACCGACAGCTGGAAAGGCTCCTGGTGGGGGGGCTGTGGAATTAGGAGCCAGGGAGGGGACTGAAATACCTCATGTCTGGAAAAACCTGCTGATTCCCAGTTCCAGCTTTTGCTTTAGTTGTGGCCTCCCCCTGAGCTGCTCCTGGGGCTGTTTCCAGCTAAGCTGGCTGTTTCCTTCCCTGCAGGGACCTCAGGGCCTGAGGGGTTATCCTGGGATGATGGGACCCAAGGGTGAGACAGTAAGTGCTGGTGGGATGTAGGGGGGGCTGTGCCTGGCTCTGGGGCCAGGGGGACCTGTGGTGATGCTTCCTGGAGGCTTCTTCCCAGGAGCATCTCTATCATGGCTGTTTGGGCACCTCAGGGAGCTGGGGGCTGCCTCTTGTTAGTAGGGTCAGACCTGGCTGGGGGCTGAAGTTGGAATGGGAGGAATTGGCTCCAACCTGTGCTCTCCTTGCAGGGTCCTGCTGGTTACAAAGGGATGGTTGGGACCATCGGAGCAGCGGGGCGGCCGGTGAGTGCCCTCCCTCCTCCCCAGGGGATGCAGGGGACCCCACTCTTTGCTACTCAGCCCGTGTCCTTCTCCCCTCCAGGGCAGAGAAGGCCCCAAAGGACCACCTGGGGACCCTGGTGAGAAGGGAGATCTGGTAGGTGGCCCCCGTGTCAGGAGGGCAGCACCGTGCCCCGAGCGATGCCACTGCCCCCTTCTCCCCAGCCTGGCCCCAGTCCCAGCACAGAGGGGGCTCTGCCCAGGGTGCTGCTGGTGGGTATCTCCTCCCTCCTCTCTGCACCAAGAGCTAACACCAGATCTCCTCTGCTCTAGGGTGGCCGGGGCATCAGGGGCCCCCAAGGAGACATTGGCCCCAAGGGGGAGAATGTAAGTACAGCCCGTGGCACCTGTGCCCACATCTGGGGCTGAGCTGAATCCCTTGCAGGGAAAAGACCTCTCTGTCCCACTCTGTCCTGTGAGGGACATCCTGTGTCCTTGCACTCTGGCTGAGCACAGGGTTAGAGCTTTCCTTTCCCTTCCCAGCTTCCCCCCTTACCCCCAAACCTTTCAGTCCCTTTTGGAGATGTCAGACCAAGCAGCTCTTCCCCCTTCTGCAGGGTCTCCCAGGCATCGATGGCAAGGATGGCACCCCAGGGATCCCAGGCCTGAAGGTGAGCTGCTCCTGAAACAACAGAGATGGCAAGTGGCATAAGCTCCTGGCCCTTGATGTGGCATCTCCTGACTCAAGGAGTGTGGCTGAACCTGTGAGGTCAAGGGCAGTGTCCACCTTCGGCCAGGAGTCCCTTGTCCCACTCATGGACACCCAATTTCCACACCTTTCTCCATCACATGGTGACATCCCCTCTGTCCCTTGCAGGGCAGTGTGGGGCAGGCTGGCCACCCAGGGCCACCAGGACACCGGGGACAAGCTGTGAGTACAGGAGCATGGGAGTGGGTACCCCATTACCTACGGAGTGGGATCCCTGTCCTGGGGTCATGCCAGGGTGCTGGGTGCCCAGGACAGAGGTTGCCTCCAGGCACGTGGCACTGGGCAGGATTGTTCCAGGGGGGTTGATGCCAGCCTTGTTTCTGCAGGGCTTGCCAGGCCAGCCAGGAAGCAAAGGTGGCCCAGGAGATAAGGTGGGTCTGGGGCAGGCAGGGACAGGGTCACCATGGCCCTGCTCCCCCCATCAGCAGCTGCCCTGCTCCATCTCTGGAGCCTGTAGCTTTGTCCCCATCCTGTCCCCTCCTGTCCTTGCTGTCTCTGAACTGTCTCCATCTCTGTTCCCAGGGTGAAGCAGGTGCTCGAGGCCAGCCCGGGGTCACAGGTAGCCCAGGGCAGCTTGTAAGTACTGAGATGTCACCGTGACCCTCCTGGGCTCAGCCTGGGTGTTGCTGCCTCCCTCGTTTTGCCCTATTTGCTGTCAAACAAAGTAGAGCTGGGCACTTAATCTCCCAACCCTCCTCCCCCCTCTGCCCCTGGAGCAGTTTCCACACAGGGAAGCCCCTGAGGCCACTTCTCCAGCCCTGTGTCCAGCACCTCCTTGGCCAGCCAGGGCAGTGCCAGCCCCTCACCTGGCTGCAGGGTGAAGGGCAGATGATGGCACGTGAATGCGAGAGAGGCAGTTGGGCTGTGTGGGTTTTTTCCCCTCCCTTTCTAGGGTGAACCAGGACCTCGGGGTGAGCAGGGACCACAGGGTGTCCCCGGGATGAAGGTGGGTGCTGGGCACAGGGGGGGAGGTTGGGGTGACCCCAGGAGCTGCCCCTGACTCTGTTCTCTTCCCTGGTCTCCACAGGGTGACCGGGGTGAGCGTGGCCCCGTGGGCCCCCCTGGTGAGCAGGGGAAAGTGGTGAGTTGCACCCCCAGCCAGGCTGGGAAATGGACTTTTGCTTTGGCAGGGCTCAGGGCTGCTCGTCCTGGGGCTTTTGGGCAGGGGGATGGGGGCAGCAGGGCCCAGCTGCACCTCCAGCACACACCCTTGGATCCCTGCTGGGGTCCATCCTGTGCCCCATGGGTCAGGCTGAGGCCACTGGGCCCACTGGGCCAGGGTGAGGGATTAGCTGGGGGTGCAAATAGCACTGGGATTAGTGGTCCCAGGGCTGCTGGGTTTCCAGCCCCAGCTGGGAGAGGAATTTCCTCCCGGCCCAGCAAGAAGGAGGAGGCTGCCCAGCCCCTCTTGGAGGCTTTCCCAGGGTGGAAAAGTGGCCAAATTACCTGTTCCACGCTGGCTTCCTGGGAGCTGTGGCCCCATCCCTGGCAGGGCCCTCTCTGTGCAGCTGCAGGGGAGGGTCCTCCATCACTTTTTCCCAGCCTCTGGGCAGGGTGGGATGCTGGGAAGCAGCCTGGGCTGCCTGTCCCTTTTGTTGCCTTGGAAAAGATGCTCTGATGGGAGAGAAGAGTTTTCCCACAGCCTCTTCTCACACATTTTTCTCTTTTTCCCCTGTTACTTTGATCCCCAGGGGCCCAAGGGTGAGCAGGGTCCACCAGGGATCCCAGGACCCCAAGGTTTGCCAGGAGTCAAAGGAGACAAGGTGACTGCTCCTGGCTGCAGGGGATGGGCAGGGTCCTGCTCAGGGAAGCTGCCCTGAGCTGGGCTGACCTTCCTTCTCCTTTCTCTAGGGTTTCCCAGGGAAAACTGGCCCCAAAGGTGGTATTGTGAGTACATCACCCTTCTGCCTGGGCTGGGGGATTGGTGGAGAAATGCTGGCACCTCTGGGGGGCTGGTACCCACTGGCACCACTCTGTCAACACCCTGGCCATCCTGGTCAAGCCCAGTGGGTGGAAGGGGGTCAAGGTGGCTGCAGAGGAGGTGGGTGCTGGCCCTGAAGCTTCACATTTCTCGTTGCCTTTCCCCTAGGGAGACCCAGGTGTTCATGGCCTTGCAGGGCTGAAGGGAGAGAAGGTGAGTCCCCACAGATGGTTCCTGGGCTGGGGGGGACAGGGGCTGGACATGGGTCCCTGCCCACACACTGTGGTGATGCTGGGGTCTCCTGTGGTGCACTCTGGTGGGGGGGGTCTATGTGCCCTCCCCTCAACTGCATCTCTAAGTTCCTGCTGTCTCCCCATGGCATCTCTTGTGCCCTTTGTCCCCAGGGTGAATCGGGAGAGCCGGGGCCGAAGGGGCAGGTGAGTGGCTGAGAGTTGGGGGGCAAGGGGCTCCTGGGACCTTCCCACCTGCTGGCTCTGGGGGACCCTCAGCCAGAGGGGATCCATGGAGCTGGTGTTTGCTGCACGCCAGTGTCCTCAGAAAGCATCTTTGCTGGCGATGGGCTCCAGTGAGCACGTTCAGCCCTGGGTTCAGGTCCAGACCCTGTTTGGGGTTTAAACTCTGGCTGCAGCACTTGGCACTGGAAGTCTTTGTGGTCTCGGGGCTGCCGAGCTCCCTGCCCCTGACTCTGCTCTCCATCCCCACGGCAGCAAGGCATCCATGGTGAGCTGGGCTTCCCCGGCCCCTCAGGGGATGCAGGAGCACCCGGAGTCCGAGGATACCCGGGCCCCCCCGGCCCGCGGGGCCTGGTCGGGGAGCGGGGAGTGCCGGGGCTGCCGGGCCCGCGCGGCGCCGCGGTGAGTACCCACCACCCACCCCCTCCTCCTGGCACTGGGGCTGCACCCTCTGCTGATTACAGAGCCACAGCATCACCAAGGCTGGAAAAGACCTTTGAGTTCATTCAGTCCAGCCTGTGACCAACACCCCACATCTCCAGACCAGGGCACCAGGTGCCACCTGCAGCCTTTCCCTGAGCACCTCCAGGGATGGTGCCTCCATCACTGCCCTGGGCAGTCCATCCCAATGTCTGATCACCCTTTCCATGAGGAAGTGGTTCCTAATATCCAACCTGAACCTCCCCTGGAGCAGCTGCAGGCCAGGCCCTCTTGCCTTGTTGCTAGTTGCCCAGAAATAGAGCCCAACCCCACCTGACCACAACCTCCCTGCAGGTAGTTGAAGACAGTGAGAAGGTGCCCCCTGAGTCTTCTCTTCTCCAGACTAAACAACCCCAGCTCCCTCAGCCAATCCTTATAAGACCTTCCCTATAAGACTTTCCCTCTATTCTTTTCACCAGCCTTGTTAACTGCCTCTGACCTTTTCTTACTAATTGATTCCTTGGAGAAATGGTTGCTATTTGGCTCAGGAGCTGCCCATTCTCCCCCAGAAGTTCTCCAGGATGGCTGAGCTGGGATCCCACCTTCCTAAAAAAGAGGAATTCTTTATTTCTCACTATACATAGCACCAGCTATGTTGGCACCAACACATGCCTTATTAGCCTGCCTGGAGGACAGAATTTTTATATCTATGCCTTGTTTTCTACTTACCAAATGTGGCTGCAGAAAGTTAACACCATGAAGAGGCTGCAGCATGGCTGGGCACGGCCTGAGCTGAGGCTGGGACACTTGTACCTGAATGGACAGAAAACAAAGCAGGGTTGGGAAGGTGGCATCAGGCACAGGGAGGTGCTCTGGACCCGGGGTGGGGATGGGACAGTGCTCTGGGTGTGGACAGAAGGAGCTCTCTCCCTTGATGGTGTGTCCCTCTTCTCACTGCTGGCAGGGCCGGGATGCTGGGGACCAGCACATCGTTGATGTGGTCATGAAGATGCTGCAAGGTGAGGGGACAGGCAGGGCACTGCCAGCTGGGTGGCTGCCACCACGTCCCATCCCACACCAGCCCCTCTCTGCCCTACAGAGCAGCTGGCAGAGGTGGCAGTCAGCGCCAAGAGAGCTGCCCTAGGTGGAGTTGGTGCCATGGGACCCCCTGGACCCCCTGGTCCCCCAGGGCCACCCGGTGAGCAGGGCCCACATGGACCTATGGGACCTCGAGGTGTCCCTGGCATCCTGGGCGCTGCTGGGCAGATCGGCAACATAGGACCTAAAGGTAGGTGGTGGGTGTTCATACCCACACCATGCTGGGCAAAAACCATCCTTGGAGCCGTCCCAGTCACCCCCCACAGCCCCTGAGCAGGGCAGCCCCCTCCCCTGCCTTGCAGATTGTGTGTTCCTTGCTGTGGGAATTCTTTTCCTCTCCGTTTCTCTCCCTGCAGGGAAGCGAGGCGAGAAGGGTGAGCGGGGAGAAGCTGGTCGTGGCCACCCAGGCATGCCGGGCCCCCCAGGGATCCCAGGTGAGCCCCTCTCCCCCAGCACAGGCCCCCACAGCTCCTTACCCCTTGCCAGTGCGATGACGAGCTGGGAACCTTCCGGCCCATCCCTGCAAACCTGCACGGGTTCATCCTGTGAGTTAGACATTGGGAAGAAATTATTGATTCTGAGGGTGGTGAGAGCCTGGCCCAGGTTGCCCAGGGAGGTTGTAACTGCCCCATCCCTGGAACTGTTGAAGGGCAGGTTGGATGGGGCTTGGAGCAACCTGGGCTGGTGTTCCTACCCACTTGCAGTTCCTACACCTGGAGGTGCCCCTACCCATGGCAGGGGGTTGGAACTGGATGATCTTTAAGGTCCCTTCCAACCCAAACCATTCCATGATTCTACGAACTGCCAACACATTGCACCCTTTGCCTCCTCCTCCCCACCTGGGGCTCTGGAACTGCTTTCCCAGCCTCCCAGTCCTACCCCCTGCCCACCCAGCTCATCCCCAGCCCCTTGCTGATGGCCACACTCCCTTCCTGCCAGGTCTCCCCGGCATTCCAGGCCAGGCACAGGATGGCAAGGCTGGGGAGGGGGGCGTGCCGGGCTCCCCGGGCCAGGCGGGTCGGCCGGGGCTGCCCGGTCCCGGGGGGCTGCCGGGGTTCTGTGACCCCGCTGCCCGCCCGGCGGGCTTCACCACAGAGACCAGAAAACTGCAAAGCCGGACGGGAGCGACTTCTGCCCAACCCGCCCGCTGGGGAAACAGCCTCGGGAACTGGCGTTTGGTGCAGGCATCACCCCCTGCCCACAGCCCCCGGGGGGGGAGAGGGTAAAGAGAGGTCACCCCAAGGTTTGTCCTCATTAGTGGGGCTCGTTACCTGCCCCCTCTGCCCACCCTCCCCTCCGTGTGCCCCTTCCCAGAGAAATAAATTGACTTTTATACAAACCCTCTTACTCTGGTATGTCCTGCTTGGTGCTGGATCCTTTCATGGTCCATTTCTTTTTTGTCCTTCTTTTTTTTAAAATAAAAAACAGAAATTGTGTTTTGATTATTTAAGAGATTTGCCAGTTCCAGCCTTTCCTCCCCCCCCCCCCACTGCTGGACATTCACAGAACTGTAAATCTTTGTAAAATAGGATTATTTTATAACTATGAATGGAAAAAAACCAAACCTCTTAATAGAAAATGGACAATAAAAATGAGTTGGATTGTTAATGAAGTGTTGATTTCTTTGAAACAAACCAAGACTATACTGGTGGTGGTGGGGGGGGGATTATTATTTGAGGGCTGAAGTGAGTTTTCCTGTTGTTTGAAACACCTTATTGGCCATCTCAATTGCTCGTTCCCATCCTCAGGGACAATTTCAGCCTCTCAATACGTTTCCTAATCGAAAGCTCATTTCCCCCCCTTGCACCACTACAAACAGACAGAGACATTTGCCTCCCCTGAGCCTCCCGTGTTGGAGACCAAAGAAATGCCAGAAACGCATCAGACACCTTAAAACAAGGCTGAGTTCACCCAAGTCCACCCACAATCAAGTGGGCCAGAAAACTATTAGCAAAGGTTATTGATCTCTTAATAGCTAAAAAGGAGGCTTGTGGCTCTAACCAGACCCACAAGTGTCTGTCTCATTATTGCCATCGACAGCAGCAGGGATCCCAGCCGTGCTGCTTTGCTTTGCAAGATAAATAAAAATCAATGTTTGTTTATTAGCAAAGCGTGTTCAGCTTGGCAGGGGAACAAATCCTGGGGAGCGGTGGCAGGAAGGGCTGTCTGGGTCCCTCCTGGGGCACCCAGCGTGGCTGTCACCTGCAAACTGCAACCCAAATGGGGCTGGGACAAGGGACAAGGCACCTGGGAGGGGGTAATTCAGGCAAGGAGCGTGTCCGAGGCCAGGCAGAGGCAGCACTGTGGGCTCCTCCCTCCCCACACGCACCTGCATGATCCCACACGGATCCTCACCTGTCCCCAGCCTCCTCACCAGTGTCCTGCACTCATCATAGAATCCCAGAATCCCAGGGGTTGGAAGGGACCTTGAAAGATCATCTAGTCCAACCCCCCTGCCAGAGCAGGGTCACCCAGAGCACATCACACAGGAACTCATCCAGGTGGGTTTGAATGTCTCCAGAGAAGGAGACTCCACACCCTCCCTGGGCAGCCTGTTCCAGGGCTCTGTCACTCTCACAGGAAAAAATTTTTTTCAGATATTCACCTTGAACCTCCTATGCTCCAATTTGCTCCCATTACCCCTTGTCCTATCACTGGTCATCACTGAGAAAAGCCTAACTCCATCTCCCTGACACTCACCCCTTGCATATTTGTAAACACTGATGAGGTCACCGCTCAGTCTCCTTTTCTCCAAGCCCAACAGCCCCAGCTCCCTCAGCCTTTCCTCAGCAGGGAGATGTTCCCCTCCCTTCAGCATCTCTGTGGCTCTGCCCTGGGCTCTCTCAAGCAGTTCCCTGTCCTTCTGGAACTGAGGGGCCCAGAACTGGACACAATACTCCAGATGCAGCCTCACCAGGGCAGAATAGAGGGGGAGGAGAACCCCTCTTGACCTACTAACCACACACCTTCTCATGCACCCCAGGATGCCATTGGCCTTGTTGGCCACATTGCTGGTCATGGTCATCCTCCTGTCTACCAGGACCCCCAGGTCTCTTTCACCTACACTGCTCTCCAACAGGTCAGTCCCCAACCTGTACTGGGACATGGTGTTTCTCCTCCCCAAATGCAAAACTCTACACTTTCCCTTGTTGAATTTCATCATGTTTTCATCATCCACTTCAAATCCCCCACAAGCCACTGCCCTGGCACTTCACCTGCAAACACCTAACTGGAAGGGGACCAGGCTTTATCTTTAAACAAAATCATTAAAGAATTGGAAGTGAACAGCAATTGTTTTGTTTGCAAGGTGGAATTTAATCAAGGCATTTATGCGGCTGCATGCTAATTAGGGGCCAGGCTCTGGTTGCTTCCAATGAGCTGTGCTTCAAATCTGCCTCTTCCTCAGAGCCCTCATAAATATTCCCCCTCCTAAGAGCAGCTCGGACGCTGTTCCAGAGCCAAGAGACTGAAAACCAAGGATCTGTGGGAATGGAGCAGCTGGAAAACACCCAAACTCTGCCCCCCATGAAATAACAAATCGTTCTCAGGAGAGGTGAGGAAAGGGGCTTGTTCAGCACCTGCCTCCGTTTCTGGACAAAGGGGGAGATTTATCCTCATTCTTTCCAGGAGGAATTCCAGGTTCTCCAAGCCCTTCGGGGACAGCCCTAAGTCGGCCTCGGCCCGGGCTCCAGCTGTGCAGCACATCTGGGGCCGCCTCCCGGCTGCGCTGCCCAAATAATCCCTTTTTTTGGGTGGGTTTTTTCTGCCCACGAGAGGGAGCTGCCTGCCCGCGGAATTCCCTTCCCGGGAAGCCCAAACTGGGCCCGTTGCCACCAAACCCCGGGTTTTTAGCCCAGCAGGAGCCCAGCCTTGCCAGGGCTGCCCTGTCCCCTTGACTCTGGGGGGACAAGGGGGGAATCCTCTCCCCTTGCTCCCCCCCTTCCCACCTCTGGGATGAAGGCAGCAGAGGTGGAAAACATTGGGAGAAGGGAACGGGGGGTGTAGATTTGCTGTGGGACATTGATTCAAGGAGGTCCAGAGGGGCCAGAGCAAGGCTGTGGTCCTGGAGCAGGAAGAGGCCACTTCCAAGAAGGATAAAGGGCTATCAGACAGGAAAGCATCCACTGAACCTGCAGAAGGTCCTGGGCTGCCTGGGAGGATGCAGGGTCCTTCCCAAGAGTCACAGAGTGGTTTGGGTTGGAAGCTCTCCCTGAGCAAGAGGCAGCTTTGACCTTCAGCAGGCAGCCCTGGTCCCAGCCCCCTCCCAGGAGGTGCTGCAGGGCAGGAGCAGCTCCAGCCCCTTCTGTGCAGCCTCCCAAGCCAGAGCCTGGCAGGGCCAGTGTCTGGGAAGATTAAGAAGATCAGATTTTAATTAAAGTGCCAATGCAGCAGCTGGCTGGAGCTCTTGCTCTTTTCTCCCCCACCTCCTTGTGCCTGAGCTGACATAACGGATTATCCCGGGAATGAAGCCACCAGGGGGTGACAGACTTGTCACCTCACCTGTCCCACCTACCACAAACCCTGGGGCTTCTGGGCTAAGCAGCTGCCATGCTCCACAGCAGCTGAGAGAGCAGCCCAACCTATTCACTGCCCCGTTATTCAGCCCTCAGGGGCTGGGCCAGGGTCGGTCATAACTGATTCTCGAAGCATCAAATGTGTGGCATCTTTTAAAATAGTTCTCAGGGGTTTAAGAACCTGCCTCTGAGCTAGAAAGGTGCCAGGAACATGAAGATGTGGAGTCAACCATCCCCCGCGGCTTCCGCACGGTGTGAGGGACAAAAGGGAAGCGTGAGAGGCGATCAGGGCAGATCCCTTCGGATTCACTCCGATTGATCCCACCGGGAGCAGCAGGAGTCCCGGCTTTCCTTCTCTTCCCCTCTCACTGAAAGCCGCGGGTGGGGGGGAGGGATGGAAAACCCGCTGGCACCCGATTCCTGCAGGGCTGGGGGGCTCTGGGACAAGCACCGCTGGTTCCACGGGTGTCACTGTCACAGCTGGATGTGCCATCGGTGCTCAGCACGGCCCCGGCCCTACCCTTCCCAGCCCACGGGAGACCTGCCCGGCACAGGCTCTTCCCGCTGGGAGGAGGGAAACCCACCCGCACAGCCCGGGGCAGGGCCAGGACAGCACGGAGGGTGGGATCCATCTCATGGACCACCCCGGGACACGCAGGAGCATTCCCAGAGCACCACCAAGAGGAGTCATCGGCTCCTGCTCGGTTATCCAGGGTCACATCATCCTGAGGTCCCATCCCGGGGACATTTCGGTGCCCTGGGCAGAGGCAGCGCTGCCAGTGAATAATTCAGGAAGGAGATAAAAGTTTCCTTGAGCAAACTGATGCATTGATTAGACCAAATTGCCTCCCTCAGCCTCGAGGAGGTAAAAGGGAGCTAATCACCGTTTGTTCTCTTGATAGATGATTAACCACAAATTAGAATATTAAAGAGAGGACTTTGGGTACGTAAATCAAAAGCTGAGAATAAAGTTAATTATTGGAGGAGCC